TTTAGTGATTTATTACAAATTCACCCTCCATCTGTCACCTCGAAAAGCTTGTCTCACGTGTGTTTATCCGAGGACCCTGTGACATCATCTGGTTTTGATGACTTTGGTGTCACATTGAGCGTTAAAGCTGAGGCAGCAGTGACCGATTGGATCCTCATTAACAGTCAGTTATGTGTTGTTGGACTAGAAAGTTCTATCTAAGTGAGAAAAAATCGGTGTGAGAAGCGATGTCTTTTCATCATCACCACCTACACTCTGACAGATTGCAGCCTGGATGTGATCAAGGATGAGCTTTACCATCAGTTAACAGTTCTTCTACAGAACGTGAGTACGACGGATTCTGTAGTGCCATTCAGAGGCTTGAATGCTCAGGTCGTGAGTCTAGGAACAGAATAGAGTCATTTAGGTGGCCGACAGGGACTTATTGGTAGCAGGTCAGATAACAGTAACCGTCTACTGCAACTACGCACAGACCACAACCTGTTTCTGGCTAGCACCGGCACAGTCATCGCCGATGTGCTACCTGGCGACCTTCCTCTACATCTCAAGCCTGGACTCAGATTGATCACATCGTGATCAGCTACCGCTGGCGTGGTTGAGTACAAGACTGATGCTCCTTTTGGAGTACCGATCTGGACTCTGATCATACCTTTGTTTGTACTAATCTTACCTTGCTTTTCAGTGGCCAACAAATTCATCGTCCTAAACGGATTGATGTCAGCAACTTGGTTGCAGCTTTTGTTTCAACCAAATATCAAACCGAGCTAGGTTCAAGGCTAGCTAACATTCCACCGAAAGGTATAGATGAGCATAGGTTGTAACTGCATGATAGCATGAAAATGACCAGTAAACTCGCTTGCGGATTCGCGAAATGTTTCTTTAGTATCCTTACAACTGATTGAAGCACGTCGGTCTACTCCAGGTGACCGCAAGTTTGACCACTAACAAAGGCTGTTACGTAATGAAGTTGTGCATAGCTTGTGTAGGGACCGAGAAACCTGATAGTAGTAACGTGCCAATGAGTAGAAAGTAGTGGCTGCGTCTGACAAATTTCGGAAGCTCTTTCAACTCATCCGAGTCACTGGCAGCAAGAAGTCTGGTGTGAGCGAAACCATCTGAAATGACGGAGTGTTAATCACTAAGATCTACCAAGGTTTTGGACGATGGGCAGAGTTTTTTGAGGAGCAGTTCAACTGGTCTATTGCCCCGGCAATGTGAATCAGTTCTGCTCGCATGGCCTGTGATGACTGGTCCATCAAATGAGGTGAAAGTCCGCACGCAACTCCAACTCCTGAAGCGCTACAAACCACCAGGCCCAGATGACTTACCTCCGGCTCTTTGTAAAGATGGTGGTGAATTGCTGGTTATGGAACTGAATTATTTAAAAGGCCTGACAATTAGTGTTCCATCATCGTGGAATGAGTCGATGGTTGTTCCTCTCAGTTAAAAGCGTTTACGTTGTCGCTGCAACAACTATCGGTAGATAAGTCTACTCCAAATTGCGTCCAAACTATTGACTTCCGTCATACTTCGTAGGTTGTTCAAAACCCGAGAAAGATGGACTCACGAGGAGTAGGCTGGTTTTCGTTCTGGTTGAGGACATATTGATCATGTCTACACCCTCTGCCGAATTTTAGAACACCGTCATACTTGTCACAGGCCAACAATCGTAGTGTTTCTTGATATCAGGGCTGCCTTCGATTCGTTGGACAAAACTGCTCTCTGAGATTGTCTATTAATGAAAAGGTGTGCCTGAGAAGTTCATTAACATCTTAAAGATCCTATATATAAACACCTCAGGTAGAGTGAGGGCACACAACCATCATTCTCCATTCAAGCAGTGGGGTTAGACAGGGTTGCCTAATCTCGCCAATCCTCTTCAACTTTGCCATGGACATCCTGGAAACAGCTCTGGTGGATGTAAGTAATGACGGTGTGGATCTGCTGCCTGGAGGATAAAGACTTCTCGACTTTGAGTATGCGGATGATATAGTCTTACTGTGCGATATTGCCAAAGCCATGCAACCCACACTTAATCACTGTCCGTCGGTATGTGCTCTGCATCTTCGAATTGCAAAGTACTCTTACAGGATTGACAGGATCCTAATCCTGCACTCACCCTGGGTAGTGAGCGGATAGTAGTCAAGCAGTTCGTGTATCTAAGTAGCTGTGTAAGTGCTGGTGGTGGCGTGAGTGATGAGATCAATTCATGTGCAATGAAAGTCAGAGCGACTGATGCCAATCTGGCCCAACTTTGGAGTCTTCGTGATGTTAGTCTGATTGTAAAAGCTTGAATATACAACGCGTCGGTGAGAGCAGTTTCGCTCTATGCTTGTGAGACCTGATCTCTCCGAGTTGATGATTTTAGACGACTCTCTGTGTTTGAGCATCGTTGTCTCCAAATGATTGCTGACATCCAGTGGCAACAACATGTTAGTAATGTAAAGGTTCGGGAACAGCAACGATAATTCAGTTAGTGTCACTATTTTGAAACATCGAATTCGGTGGCTTGAACATGTCCTACGATATGCATCATTTGTCGAGGCTGAGACCGGTTGGAAAAAGTGGATAGGTGGTCAGTGTATGACATGGAGAAATGCTATACGGGACTGGCTTCTGTCGGCCGTTCACGACTCACTGATTAAGGTCTTGGAGATGGTGAAACACTGTGGGCAGATACGTTATTAGACATGGCTCAGAGTAGAAGCTAGTGGCGATCCTGTCGTAATTTTCTTCATAAGAATGAATGTAACTTCTTTAACTGAAAGAACTCTTTCTGCTTATATTTTTGCTGACTGAACTGTTTCTCCTATTAATATTACTTCATTCTCATACACTAATTACTGTTCTTCTTTTATTATACGCACTTAACACTCTCTATCTCGTCACAACCTCATTGTTATTATGTGGCGCAAATGTATCTGGTGTCCCCTTGTACCAATATTTATGTATTCAAACAAGTAAATGTTTATGAATCAAAGCATAATATAAAATGTTTCCTACATAGGACTGATGAAATTCGAATGATAACTCCAAATGATTGGAAGAACATATATCATAGTCCCATCTAGTGATTAGTTCCACAACTAAGACATTCTCGATTTAGATTTCTAGGTGATATTATTTTCAGTTTATAGTTCGCAGTTATTACCTCGTGGCTATAAAAGGTAATGTCTGGAAGTAAAAGACAAATGGAAGCCACTATTATTTGAAAATTTAAGAAAACTTGTGTGTGGAGGAACAAGTGGGTGAGTAATACTGAAGTTAGTTGTAGAATAATAGGTAGGTATGGCAAATCGGTTGATAAGGCTATGGACCTCAGGTGCCTGGAAGATGGTGCACAAGCCTAATCGCCACCTATCCCGACTTCCAATGTTGGATGGAGTAGATTGGGAGAGAGCTAAAACCGGTCAAAGATATACTATTAGCCCATAAAGTCACTGGTTGTCAATCTTGGCCATGTTGATAGATGTAGATCAACTACTTGAGGTCCACACGACAATTTTATACAATGGGTGAGGAACGAAGGTGATATATTTAAACATCAGTCAAAGTGGCACACATGCACTAATCACCCTTGAGTTCCGGTATTATTTCATATTTACTAATCCTTTATTTAATTTCTGCTTAAATCATATTCTCTGTTTAGTCTATTATATTATTCCTAATACTACAATCATCCTGAGCCTTTTGTTATTTATTTTATGAATTTCATCTCGTTAAGTTTAGGTAGTATGGCAAAGTGGATCGATATAACTAAGATGATTATGCGCAGATTATATAAAACACTATCAATTACCTCTCCCAAAAAAGAAACAAGAACAATATTTTATGGTAATTAGAAGTAATGTAAGAAAAATCACCACAAATCAAATAGAAGCATTTCCTTTATACTGCACGGAAAAAATCAGTTGTTATTCCTGAATAGTTTTAGATTCTTTAGCTAGTATATTTGCAGAATAAAGAATGTACACACGCACACACACAAAAACAACTATATATTCATGGTAGAGAAGAAGGATTTCACGGCTATACACAAAAGGGTTTAGGGAGAATATAGATGAAAAACGATACATATCACGAAATGGTTAGGGTTCTTTTTACTTCGACTGAAGGGGGATCTAGTTTTCAAATATTTTCTGTCACCGTAAACAGGAATGTAAGTGGTATATATTTGTACGTATTGAAGTAAAAAATCAACGAAATAAGGAAACAGATCAACATGAAACATACTAGATTAGACAAACAATTGAGTTCAACAGAGAAAAGAACTTAGATATCAGAATACGAGGAATCATAAAAATTTGGGGAAGTAAGGAAATCTGTTCTACCTAGATTTGATCAAAGCTTGTGTATACATGAATACGTATGTGTTATATAACATATGTTATATATATAAGAAAATGGTGCATTTATATCAATGTTTGATTCTGAATGTGATATTTTCTATAATCGTAAGTCGGGAATTTTAAAGCATTCAAATGCAAACATTATGAACGATTAAATTTTAATAATCGAATAAAGGAGTATCAATGTATAACGTAACTTTTTAAAAATAATATTACTATGAAGAATTACAGATGTATGTGTATACAGTAACATTAAATGTGGAAATATCTGTTAGTCAGTTTCTTATTTGTTTGAGATAAAAGTAATTTATATTCAATAGTACAATGTGCGAGTGTCACAGCAAAATCACAGTTGAAAGAGAGTAAGTGAATATTTTGAGATTTGAACAGAAAACATAAGTACCACGCGCATCCGAGTGATAGAAAGAAACTAAATTGTAAAACAGACAGCAATGACTGTACAATGGAAAAAACCGGTAAGGGAAGATTTTGCGAAGAAATGAAGCTGGTAAAGAATTATATATATATGCTTGTGGACATGTTGATTCGCATCACAGAAAGGCTATTTTTTGAGGCGAATAAGAAATAATGGAAAATTTTTAATGCATTAGCAAACCTATTACTGTTACCCTTTGTTTTTTGTTTTGGAATTTAACGCCAAACTCCTGGAGAAGCAGAAGCTACATTCATTATATCAGGAGATGTGAGACATGCGGTAGAACTAGTTGAATGATGTTCACCTAATCCACTAATCCATGTTAATTGGATAGGTTGTTGAGGATAAGCATACATTCCAGATTCGATATAATATGGATGATGAAAGTGAGTTGAATCGGTAAAAGTAGTTGGAATTGCTGTGGCTGGCATAGTATGCGTTTGATTTACCGTTGGTAAACAATGAACGCCTTGCATAAGATGTGTTGGATTGACACGAGAAATTTGAAGAGGTAGAGGACCTGGATTAGAATGAACATGAAATGGTCCGTGATATCCATATAAAATAGGTGAGAGCGGTTCAGCAATTTGTGTTATCACACCATCGTTAGATATAATTGGGATGGGGCGAGGCTGTGAAACCATAACAGAACCGGTGACTGCACTTCGCATGGGTTGTTGTTGAATCCGCATTAGTTCTAAATGTTCAGTTGTTCGATTGACCAAACCAACACCAGAGTGTCCAGAAACTCGTAAGTTATTCAAATGATTATGTACTAGATTAGATGTTGGATTATCGACAAAATTGGCCCAATGGTTAGGAGGGGGACAAACTAGAACTACAATAGGATAAAAATAGAAAATATGAAATACACCAAGGCAGATTCAAAAGTCTGTTTTACTCCTAAAGAATAGAAACTGACCGGTTGTCAAGAACAGATTTAAGGTGTACTCATAAATTTCATAAAAATATAAACGGATCGTTCATTCATAAGGTTTTGGTATTGCTCTGCTATCGCTGTTGTTGACACATGTGTATCCAAAGTGAATCATTTAGATGTGGACATTTTTTAAAATTATTTTAATATTCGAATGATACAAACCTTTACGAATAAACATCATACTCGTTGAGTGACGTAGTGGCCATTTAAACTCAATAACTGAGTGGATATGTTGACGTTTGGAGGGTTCGAGTCTCACAATTCAATTATCTAAGCGGGTTGTAATAAAATACTATTCAGCCTCAAGACAAAACTGTAGTCTAATGGACAGATTTTCCTTCTCAACAGGTGTGTAACCACTTCACGTAAATATAGTTCGGGCTTATTTATGCGATAATGTTTACTGACTGATAGGATCCTAGAAGTGTAACTCCCATTGGATAGTGTCCCAAATAGTTAAAATTTAAAACACATGCAGAGTGAATATTCTGTTTGCTATACGATTATGTATTGATGAGAAACGGTGACAACTAGTGGGACCAATATCCTAATACATAAATTAATCCTCTGGTGTTTGACATGAATTAATCATATATATATACGGAATGTACGTTAGTTGTTTCGATAAGGGAGGCAAAGAAATATATTTATACAATACCGTGAGTTTGTATTAATTTTGATGCCTGAGGTGTTTCACAATTTCCGCTACTACTTATAACACTGAGTTGGATGAAACAGAAGTGTGGCCGGATGTTTAGAACAACACTTTGAAATACAAAATCTAAGATTGAAGTCTAGGACAGTTAGAATGGAGATTAACTATTAAGGTTTGACATGGCTGAAAGGTGATTAACAACTACAGCAATGATAAATTATATATTCCTTTCTAAAAACAAATTCACTCTTATTCATCACTGAGTAGTCACTGATATATCATGATCCTGTCTAGTCTTTTATATACATTGAATCCCATTGACGCATGATGCCGGTTTGAATATCCTTTACGTGGAGGAAGGTATTTTTTCAAAGATAGCAGATACAAGTTGTTGACAGCGATATACAGCATAAAACTTAGGTATAAAGGCTTTCTTTCAAGTACCTTCAAAATATAGATAGGAAAGTGTCATTTTTTCTGAATTTTCGACCATTTTATAAGCTTTTTACACCTTTAGTCTTGTCATACTTTTTCAATTTATAATAAAATTGTATTCTTCTAGTTAGTGTTTGGTTATGGTATGTTTTAACAATACATTTACATGTATTGGCAAATGCTTTTTCCAAAGGAATCTAATTTACTAGTAATTCTATGCAATTTAATCAAGTTTCGCTTAAATAAAGATTGTGTATTCATAGTGTTGAGGTATTACAATCACGAATTATTTAACATAATTATAGCGAACAAAGCGAATGAAAAAGACTGAAACTAGCTTGACGGTGATATAGCATTTACTATGTGTAATAACTACTACTCAAGAAAAAGAATTAGTAAATAGAATAATAGAATTTGATATCGTATTCCTTGAACTCAGTTGTAACTTATTACGGTCAAGAATTATCACTAATTAAATCTGAAAAAAATGATTTTCACATTCAATGTATGAATAGATACGAATAAACACGTTTAGTTTAAGTGTGTTAGGTTAGTGTGTGTGTAGCTAACTGTATTCAGGATGGAACAGTTCTGATTCAGTAAATTCAATCAATTTAATATTTGAGCGTCTGTGCGGAGATAAAGATATCCTAAAAACATTGCAATAAGTCGTAATTTATAGCTGAATATCATAACCGTTAACAACGGACCATTTCATACGTTTGATCATGTGCACATTTTAATTACTCCATAGTAGTAGGCAAAATTGTGTATAATATTGACATTTGAGGCAAATATTTAAGCAGTAAAAGTATATCAATAGATGAGTATGTGAGTTCAGTCCAGAGATAATGTGCCTAGAACATAGGCTACCCAACAGGAATTGATTCCTTTCTAAGATGTATATTATCCACTGGTTCAGCAGTAGTTCGCAAAACCTAAAGTGGTTAGATCAAAATATAACTAAAAGTTTATGGGATTGCTTATGATTACTTTCAGGCTGTGTACGAAAGTAGCTGGTGTGTTTGATATGTTAAAATAAATATTTTAAAGTTGTAAGTGATTATACGGAGTAGAAATGAAACGTACTGTTTGTTTACGTTTCCTCTTCCCCGACGTCTTCCTTTTTTAGTTGATTACTTTACATATCAAGTAGTACTTTAGGTGATATTTTAAAATGATAAACGTTTTGTGCAACGAGATTTTATGTTATTATGCCTTAATCTAACACGAAGTGAATATAGACTTAATATCATTCATACAATAAAATAGACTCGACTTTTATGTTAGAGAATTCAGAATTGATAAAAAAATAACTACTATAGATGTGAATAAATATATCAATCAATCACAAGTAAACACCATTACGTGATTTCAATATGAGTATTGAAAGAAATTTCACATCACTGTGTCGTGCCATCCAAAATTTTAATGTATAACCACTTGAAGCCTTTTAAATGAATGGTCACGCCAACTTAATGTATTTAATCTAATTACAATATGTGAATGTAAACACTGAATCAAACTTGACATCTAAATTAGCGAGGCAGTTACAACTGTCCATTATTATTATTATTATTATTATTATCATTACTGCTACTACTACTACCACCACCATATATACATGTCAAATACTATCATAGAGTATTAAATACAATAAATACACTTGGAACAACCGAAGCAAATGTTTAAAGTGGACTGTTATGTTTCTTTTTCAATAACAGTTTGTTTATTAAAAAAGACTGAATCAGACCCACTTTTAACCAATACCGAAGATACCATATTATAATGACGACTGATCATTTAGTAACAACAAAAAACATGGTTACCAGCAAAACAACTACACTCACTAAATCAACTATTTAAGTTCAAACAAAACACACCTGGAGCGTTTGAAACTGAATCACATTGACCCGATTGTAGTACGTTGGCACCAGGAGGCACTGGATTTGAATTTGAACGTCGAAAAAACCGGTGACCTAATGCTGCAGCAGGACTAATGCGTCGAGCTGGATCGAAAGTAAGCATTCGCAGTACAAACTCCAAGAAGATGCTGTAGTCCATTGGAGTGTGACCAGATTCATGTAAGCGTCGCCCACGTGGCCCTCCAGTATTGACACCCAAAATTTCAGAAAGACGACGACTACCTGGTTGCTGGCAAGCAGCCTATGTTAGTGAGCATAGAAAGGAAATAAACCAATATGTAAAACGTAAGTATGTGATGCTTTTTAAACTGTAGAATGATTGATTAGGTGGAGTAATGGTTAACTAACAAGTGGTATATAATATGTAACTAACATTCCCAGTTCAAAGTAGTGCTGCAATAATATTTTCACGAAACACTTACCTACTTATAAGTAGTGTGCTTAGTCGTTTAAAAATAGTTTGCTTGGAGCTAATAGACGGGTTTGAAAACAACATGAGATGGATAAATAAAGACCATGCTGTATAAAGATTTATGAACGTGCAGATAATGAATTCGTTGAGTAAAAAATTTGAAATCTCCACAAAATTTACTGTGCATCAGATTAAAAAAAACCACGCATCTCAGAGAACAAGTGAAAGAAAAGAGTATACTAATAAACTATTCTTCATCACGGTAATGTGTAGCTTCCAATGAGTAAGCAAACAACAGAATTTCGATAAATTATTAAGACGAATTGTAGTAACTCTATGTATACATCTTGTTATTGGTTAATTTAAAATTTTTCTCATCTAATCTCAACTATACTAACCGACTGTTTTAATGCTCAGATAAGAAAATTGAATTTTCATATTTTTGGTATCGCAACTGGTATCTACGTTGTATTACCTAATAGTTGATCACATATACAGCTGGAATTCACATAGACAAAAATGAGTTAGTAATAGTCCTAAATTTCAAAAATACTAACTTGAGTAGGCGGGTACTTTAATGATTTCTTAGATTACCTTAGTGCAACGTAATAGATATTATGGTATAAACTTACGATATACACTAGTTTTATCAATCGCCTTAAAGAAAGATATATTATGAGTTCAGGGTAGATTTTTCCCGCTTCAGAATAAAAAAAAGTAAGTGCGTTAATGCAGGAAAAATCACCGTAAAAGAGCAATTTCAATATAAGGGAAAAAACTTTCGTTTGACAAACTTACTTTAGGTACATAAGTGCGATCAACTGTTCGTTCAAAAAATACATGCCAACGACGACTTTTTTCTAGCAGTAACCGGGGTGGCATACCAAGAACTTCAATAATTTTCATCATTTGTCCAACCTGGCAATAATCAAATGAAAAATACATAATGTTTTTAACTTTTACACGATATTGAATGAAAATCTAAGTTAATGCATCTGGAGCTCAAAAGCGAATTAATTTAGGTTATCTGATGGTATTCTATTGAGGGATGGTAAAATACATTTTCAGCACAAATATGTTTTACAGATAAGTAGGTAATAAAATAAAGTATTGTATACATTCTTACAAACGTCCTGTAGTATTGAGAGTAAAATGGTTACTTTAGCTTGAAGTAGTTTCAAAAAAACTATCGAGAAACCCCCGCATGCCCTGGTACAACCGAGAGTAGAGAAAGTCAGCACTCCCTCTAGAAATGCTCTCACATGGTCACGCGTATATAGCCTCTGCCAGGGAAGTCCTACTCACTGCCTTCTCGTTGCCAGGGTGTTGTTTACGAAGTTGAGAGGACGAAAAGAAAATGTCCGATGCTTTAGTCGGGTTGGTGGACACGGTGAGTCCACCTAGGGGAGTTGGAAGGCCCTGATTCCAAACCAATGGTGCACATGTTCTCCAGTATCCTGGAAGAACAAATGGCGTATGAACCAATTGTTGGTACCGGCTATCATGGGACTGCATATCCTCACGATGCTCCACTGCCTTGTGGGTCAAAACTTTAGGTCAAAGGCTCTGGGTGTGGTCCCCTAAGAAAACCACCTGCTTCAGTTTGGGCACCTGGGCATTATTACAGCCCTCACACAAACCAAATGAGATCTGTGCGGCGCATATGTATCTGGTGCTTCCTTATACCAATATTTATTGTTCAAATAAATAAATAGATGAAGTATCACATCACAACTTCGTCCCCAATGCTCATCACAACCTCGCTTTCCGGATAACTTTTAATCATATCTCCATACCATCCTACCATTAAATCCTTTACACTTTTTAATTTCTACATTTGAAATCGAAACAAACCTTTTGGTTTTACGAAATAGTATACTAAAGTTGTAAAATCAATGTAACAGCTTTTCCAGTCAATTCACTAACCAACATTGAAATACTAGACCAAGAATATATGCTCTGTTCCTAAGACATGCATGTAGAACTCAGGTTTCGTTGTTCACATGAAGACGTTTATCCTATACTATAAGTATGTGTGCTAATTAGAAATGGAGAGACGATTATTAGGGATAATGTTCGACTAGTAAAGCAACCAGATATAAATAAAAGATGAAAAGAATTGGAAAGGGATAATGGAACATGTCCAAGAAACTCACTTCATTTTGTCCAGCGAATAAAGGTTCTCCAGTATGTAGTTCAACTAGAATACATCCTAAAGACCACATGTCAATACTCATTGTATAATCTAATCCTAGTAAAACATCTGGTGAACGATAATAGCGTGATTGGATATATTGATAAATTTTCTCATTCATATGACAAGAGCTTCCGAAATCCACTAATTTTATGGTCGAGCGTTTAGGATTGACAAGTAGAATGTTTTCCGGTTTTAAGTCACAATGTATGATTTGTAATTCAGGTCTAGATAGGAAATCTAATGCACAGCATAATTGTTGAGCGAATTTTCTCGTTAAGCCCAATGAAACACCATGAAAATTTGTATTTCTTAAAAGATCGTACAAATTGTAGGAAAGCAATTCGAATACCAGACATAAATGACCTCTGAATGTGAAGTGAGTAATTAAACGAACTGAAAAAAAGAAAAGAACGTAAGAAAAATTAGTACAATAGAATTCTAACTATTAACAATTTGCCTACAATTAAATATTGTTTACTGGATATTAATTTATGCACTAGAATATGATGATAATAATAAATGTTAGCATGTAAGGACCCTTAGATAGTACAGAAATAGAAATCCAAGAACCATGATTCTTCCCAACTATAAGATAGATATGTCTTGATTGTTATAGATGGAGTTTCAAGATCATTTAAAGATTATTGGGATTTTTACTGGGACCGAATAAAACTGGGGGGATTAAGTGTCAGTTAGTCATCGTATTTTGAAAAAGCTTGGACGAAAAATCTAACTATTGGTCAAAACGTGGATGTCAGTACGTTCGAAGCCACATGATTAAAACGCCGATGAAAAGACAGAATAAGAAAACTTCAGATGATAGGTTACTGAAAACTGTTAAATAGTTACATTCTAAAGTACTAATACAAAAACAGTTCTATCTGACTGCGAAGTCCTACTATCCCAAAGCTATAATCAAAGAAAGGTAATAGAATCAAATTGGGAAAATTACAAGAATTACAACTTTATGGTTGTGATTAAGAAATGTTAAATGGCCTATTGGTGAGATTCGAAGAAGAGAAGTATGTAGGAATCACAGTATTGATTATTCGTTTTTTGATGCTCACTCACACAACTCAAGATTGTACCAAAGGACGAAAATAAACACCAATTCTGGATGAAATCGCTAGTGGTAACATTTAATTAAGGTGAATTAAGACTCTGAATATAATCATAAAGCTTCTATGTACGGCATTCATAGTTAGTAAGCAAATAAAGCTTCTTATAATTATTTCATTCCGTTTGCTAATGTAGCTCATCATATTAAAAACGAAACCACCTTCCGAAAAGTTCACATAAAAACACTTTTAAATGTATTTCACAAAATAGAGTAGTTATAATTAGAAATGATTAAAACAAAACTTAAAAGTATTAAACTAATGGAGAGATATTAACATATGGGTTTAATAAACCCATTTATAATTTTTCACAGAATATAGTAGGATAATAGCATTAACTAGTAAATGAACAGATAAAAGTATAAATTAACTCTGAAATGTGTTATGTGAAAAGATGTTGAAAAACAGAAATACTCCAACAAATAATTTTCTAACTGAATTAATTATGATAAACAAACTTGGAAATAAACTACTATTTTACTGTATTCAATCAAAGAGTCACAACGGTTTGTTAACTTAACACTGTCTGTTAGTGTGAAAAAACCCCAACTAAAATCCTTATTTCTGCTGTGACATTTGTGATAATTCATAAAATGGAAGACAAGAACTGAATAAAATCATTTTACGTAAAAGGCGAAAAAGAGAACTCACCAATCAAATTAGATCCAAGTGGTGGTTCTTTTCCAGTTTCAGCAGCTTCTTCAACAAAATGATTCATTTCACGTAGTAAACGAATTTCCACTTGAGCTTGATTAGTGAATGCACGTTTATTTTTGATAATTTTAATAGCCACATCTTCATTTGAAATACAATCATGTGCTTTCATTACCTGATATATTACACACAGTAAATTAGAAAATAGACAAATTTTAAAAAGGCATTTTACAGACTGATACGTATACATAAAGATCTTTTAAAAATAAAATGAATTGTTCAGTAAACTACATCAGTAAAGTAGCCTGTAACATGTACAACTATGAAATACACATTATAATTACTTACATCTTGTAAGAAAAATTGCATTCAAGGTGATGTGATGAATAAATATGTCATATTCTAGTGAAGATTAAATTACGGGTAACTTCTGAGAACCATTAATGGACTTATTTTATATATATATTCCTATGGTATAGCTGTTCGGTAACTAGATTATGTATATTGATATTCCTTTTATTATACGCTTCATTTGGATCCGTAGATTATTACTATACCCGGCACTTCCAAATCGCGCTTGTGCGTCACTTTGCCCCCGCATGCCCTGGTACAACCGAGAGTAGAGAAAGTCAGCACTCCCTCTAGAAATGCTCTCACATGGTCACGCGTATATAGCCTCTGCCAGGGAAGTCCTACTCACTGCCTTCTCGTTGCCAGGGTGTTGTTTACGAAGTTGAGAGGACGAAAAGAAAATGTCCGATGCTTTAGTCGGGTTGATGGACACGGTGAGTCCACCTAGGGGAGTTGGAAGGCCCTGATTCCAAACCAATGGTGCACATGTTCTCCAGTATCCTGGAAGAACAAATGGCGTATGAACCAATTGTTGGTACCGGCTATCATGGGACTGCATCTCCTCACGATGCTCCACTGCCTTGTGGGTCAAACCTTTAGGTCAAAGGCTCTGGGTGTGGTCCCCTAAGAAAACCACCTGCTTCAGTTTGGGCACCTGGGCATTATTACAGCCCTCACACAAACCAAATGAGATTTGTGCGGCGCATATGTATCTGGTGCTTCCTTGTACCAATATTTATTGTTCAAATAAATATACAATAAACTACACGATTTACTGTTCTTAAATTATGTTCGGTTTATTAACTACTGTGTCCCACATTCACAGCCACATTTTGGCTTGATCTTGTACACATGTTATTTCCTATTTTATGGTGTGATGTGGTCCGTTTGGCTGGTATATAAACCAAGTGCGTTTGGAATAGATGATTCGCATAGTGGAGACTGTTACTGGCGTCTTGGATGGGCTAGTAGAACAAAGGATCAATAAGGACGCTAGGTTAATCATACCGGTATTGTTTCTTGATATCAGGGCCGCCTTTGACTAGTTGGAGAGGACGATGCTCTGTAATTGTCTGCTAACGAAGAATGTGTTACAGAGGTATATTAAATATTGAAGACTTTGTACACAAACACCTCAGACAGAGTGATGGCATACAATAATCTTTCTATATCGTTAAATTTCAGCTGTAAGTTTATGCAGCGTTGCCCAATATCATTCCTCTTCAATTGTGCCCTCGATGATATTCTGATGAAAGTACGTAGAGGTGGTGTGGATCTGTTACCTAGAGAAAGATTTTTCGGTCCTGGGAACGATAATTATTCTGTTTTACTTTGCAATGATGTAAAAACTATGGAAATCACACTTGATTAGTCGGCAATCAGTGTCCGTGGGTACGGTATGCACTGCTCCTGTTCACTTATTTTTATTCTTTCGTCTTTCATTATACTTCCCATCCAACTATCTCTTCAGTTTTATTTTCTTACTTGTGTGGAGCATATTTATTTCGATGTGCAGCTGTACCAGCTAGCATTCATTCTTAATTAATAAATAAACGCGAAATTATTTTAATTTGGGCGTAATAATTCGGATAGGATCTGACCAATAAACTATTTTTAATCCTCTTAGTAATTCTGTGCTTCTCACACGTAGTTGTGACCTGTTGACTTTTTTGCATTTATATGAATGTCTGAAATATAATAGTCCCAGTAACATTTCACATTTGACTTTTTACACAAGATTATATAAACGTGACAAGACCTAAGAAACATACGAAATTAATACGGGATATATATGTATGTCGCGGATCAATATATTATAGAGTTAGACGGGCCACTAGAACTGCATCCAATCGATAAAGAAATATGATTATTGGTGCTGTGAACTTGTTTTTAAAGAGTAGTGTGTTGGAAATAATGTAATTAAGAACTAGGAGATAACTTGATTTCATGCATTTTTACTTTCACTTGTTTCTATAGACTAGCCTTTGCTTCAATGTGATAATTTTTTCAAATTCGGTTGTTGACCCGGTACATTATTCTATAATTAACTTAAAATTCTACAATAGCAGGATAGATCAATTTTACCAGTTGATAAGGATAATTTAACTTAGTAATAGTTGTTGATTCTGTAAATATACACTTTCAAATTAAACACTTTCATATTTCAATAAAGGATTAACATGCAAGTCAAGCGTATTACTGCATTAGGTATTGTATCTAGAAAGAAATATCGAAGATTCTGTCATAAAATTGTTGTAAATATAAGATGCAATACTGTTCTTGTTACACACTAATTTGAGTTTAAAGAGATATCTTAGTTGTGATAAACGACTTATATTTGGATTCGATAGAAAATGGAATAGCTCCGACAAATCTATATGGGATACCTAACAGACGTTCGACACGTTTATGCACAATGGTATATAGGTAAAAAAAGCCTTCGGTCATAGATGATGCATCCTGTATAAAAATGGTTGAGAAACTCAACCAGGTAAAAAAAATCTATCATGAAAAAAGACGCGTAATTTGGTTAAAAGAAAATTTACCTGACCAAATGATCCTTTACCAATAAGATTGTTAATTAAGTATTGTCCCATCCAAACCTCACCAGGCCTAACAATGTAATCATAATTGCTATCTGTGTGACGACGGTCTACATGATGAGTGGTAGTAGTACTAGTAGTAGTAGAACTATTCATTATACTACTTTTGCTTGAACCAGATAGCACAGATGATTGTTGTACTGTTGCACTAGCTGCTGGTAAAACTGTTGTTGATGCCCCAGGAATGTTTGAGTTTGCGATCACCACTTTGGTCCCTATTTGATTTATACCAGAACGGTGAACAAACTGATTTGACAGTGCTGAGTTGAAAAACATAGGTTGATTCACATATGTAACATTTGTGGGTTTTGACAGAGCATTTTGTGCATAAGAAGAGTGCAACACTTCATTAGTAGACAAACCAAGTGGATACAATTGATTTACATTGCTTTCATGAGGTCGTGCGACGCATGTATTTAAGGAAGATGAAGTCAATGTAACTAAAACTGGATTAGACACGTGACCGGAAAAAATGGATGGTAAGGGCGGGCTGGTAGGACTAATGCTAGTAACCCCAGGGATGTTATCATGTAATGATGTTCTTGTATTTGCTAAAGCATCTTGACTTTGTGACGTGAGGTCGAAACGTTGACGAAAACCAGCTACAAAATAATATAAAAAGGAAATTATCGATGAAAATGTGAAATAGTAAAAATTAATAGAGCATATATTCTAGTTATTACTTATTTGAACTAGAGTGAAATTCCTAAGAACATGTATTTCAAAAGTTTTCAAGAAGAACGTTTCGCCGAACTAATATGAAATATCTGAAAAGCTTAAAGGATGTAGTACTGGTAAAAATCTGAACAGACTACAGTTAACATGAGTTTTTAACACAATACACAATGTAGACCAACAGAAATTAATATTAGTTCAGAAAAAAACTTATTAGTGTGCAGTCTTAATTTATCTAAACTTGAAAGAATTTACGTAATTCTAAATAGTAACACAATATTTGACTTCTGTTGAGTTACGCGCTGATTGTAATGATGACGTCATGTAGATGATCCCGTAAAGTTACAAATATATATTTATGATGCAGGGCAGAATAGAAATATTGCAGATTGATAACAAGTGCGACAAGATGGAAAAAGATCAGAAAAGTTGATTTTATACTGTGCAAACAAGACCATTATCAACAATCGATAGGTGTTATTAAATATTTTAGAGAAGATTAGTAAGGAGTAAACAGTTATGAGGCTATGCAAATGCAAAAAAATAACTGCAACCAGTCATTTATTATGTTGGAACCAAAACCCATAGAAACGTTTGATAGAAGTCTTGCATTAATGAACTTACTATTGGTTGTAATTGGATGTATTTATTAACAAACCAGCGTAGATATGTGTTACATCAGTACAATCAAGGGGTAGACAATAACTAAACTTAGTATTTCAAAAAATCCATACATTTAGTTTCTTTAATTCAAATTTAACGCAATCAAAACATTTGCATAAAATATGTGTTCATATTATTAAATGGAATTTTCATTAATAGTGCATAACCCGAAGAGATCAATTAATGGTCACAACATAAAAGATGAACATACTTTACAAAATGAATCTAAATGCATTAAGTTCACGATCTTCAAACACGGTTGTTAGGTGTCAAGAGAGTCTATCAACCAAAAAGTTAGGAGCTGTATTTCCATGCTGAACACAACCACGATAGATTCATATAGTTTATTTCTTTAAAATCATGGAGCCTATATGCACCCCTGGTTTAAATTTTAGACCCCCCTAGATGGATCCATCAAGTTCACGGGTTCTGCTTACATGACGAACACATTTTAACAGCTCCACTGAGTAAGCCGAGAGTTGAGTTTCTTAGCTGATCCGAAACTTGTCATTCTTCTCTTACCTGAAATCATGTACAAACCTACATTATTGTTGGCTCGATCGCTACGCTGGATGTAAGTAGTGATCTGAAAACACCAGAGATCGGATGTATATTCCACAGCAAAAAAACTCAAAAGCACATACTGAAATGGAACTCTTCATTGTTTTCGACCCAAATTTATTTAAGCTGACTCTTATTAATGCTACAGCAAGAACTGCCCCAACTCTAAAAGACTTTGGGATTCGCATAAAATGAATATCGACATAAAATCAAAACATGTAAATTATGAATCTAGCTTTAAACATACACATATATGAAGGTGAAGTTACAGAAGTCGACACGAAGTTATTATTTTGACTATGACTAACAGGACACATATTTGCAGTATGTTGATGCGTATTCAAAAACATCCCAGGTATTCGACTATTAGTCGGGGATATTGAGTCAAGCGGTGTTAAATTATAATAACATGCTGATGATCGTAAACTATTGTTATATGCACAATTCGAGGAACTGAAATTTCCAACCGGGAAAGAAATTGAATGGTGTGGATTGATTGGTTTCGTAATATCAACATTCGATTGATTCTGATAAAATCCTTCGGTTGTGGCGACGCTGGTATTCCTAGCTTCTGTTGTTGACAAAAGACACAGAGGGACTTGAGATGAGTTTTTGGAACGAATATTGTTGTCTGAAGACAATGGATTTTGCTCCATATAAGTGGAAAAGCCTGTCTTTGACGGCAGGAGAGATTGATATGGGAGTATATGTTGCAAATGTGTGGAATGTGGCTCAGTATCTCTCTGGTTAGTAGAACCACGTGAATCTCTTTGATCACGAGGCACTGACTTCCCACTTTCTAGTAGAAGTGGTCTAGAAATATGTGTTGCAGTTGCACTGGAACTGCTTGTTGGTAGCCAAACATTATTGAGGGTAACAGGCATGAATCTCGAGTCTATTTGTGAATTACCTGTGTCATATATAGACTCAGAAACATCTAAAAGCAAGAGATAATTAAGCTTTGTGAATTGTATGAAAGTGTAATTTTATAAGCAAATGAAACTAAGGAATATTTCATTCATTACTTTTAAAGGAACGATTGTTGGGTGCAATTTACATTGAGAATATTGGGACTCACGTTTGAGTTCGAAATAGATTATTGTTAGTATTTAGGACTTTTAGACATTCAGTATGTATACGGGTATATGTCGTGTTTCTGGTTTGATTATTCCCTTCAAAGTTATTTAGGAATATGGTCAAAAAGTGTGGCGTTTTGCAAATAGATATCACCAACACAGTCTGATACAGATGTGAGTTGGCTCAAGTTCCCATGTCACATTGGGACGACGAGATGAAAATAACAATCGATCAAAATTATGTAGTATTAATGACAAAATGACTGAAGAAATTTCTGACGTTTCATGACAATACAAGGCATTTCTTCAGAGTAAATAGATAACCGGATTCTTTATTTTACCCCGAAGTGGTTCACACTAAGTCATGAAAAGTTTAAAATTCTAATTTCTATAATGTGATACCACAACTACGTCATTATTTCATTATCAACATCCTACTCAGTGTTCATTTCATTTGAAATTACCAAGTCTAACCTTGGTAATGATATTTGAAGTCTAAATTTTGGGAATATGGTTCGAAGAAACAGTGAAAAGGTATATATATATATGAAGGAATACTGAGATTCAAGGTAGAAAGGAAGAGAGAAAGTGAATGAATCTGAGCCACTGAGAACTAAATCGACCCATGCCACCAGTTTCCAAGCACTGATCGTGGTTACCTTGCGGACCCCAACTTGGTAGTCTGAACCTACCATAATGGTTCAGACTAACAGCCAATGACATCATGGAGTAACATTATGTCTTCGTACAACATGATATCAGCCCTCATACCCATAACAGCACACGAGACCAAGTTGGTCACATTCAAATCCTTCCTACACCTCTGAGTAACTCTCTTATCTCCACGACTAATCCTTCTCACGTCCTTTTATCACCCCGCACCGCTAGGGCAACCGATTCGATTACATGGAACGTTATTCATGGTCTCCTGAAACCACGCTCTAAACTACATGTAAGAACGTTTAACGTTCGAACATTGTGCCAAATAGGACAACAGGCTTCCTTAGCTAGGACTTTAGAATCTCGCACCATCGATGTGTGCTGCGTCTCCGAAACGCGCATACAAGATCTGAGTAGCGTCATTCATTTGACCGCACCATGTCATAATAAAGAACCGACTCGATTCACACTTCGTGTATCTGAAAGCCCTGATGCGTCAGGTCCTAGAACATAGACACACATTCACAAGCCCCAAAATCGTGGTATTTCTTGACCTTAAGACGGCATTTGACACAGTTGATCGTCAGGTTCTATGGCAGTGTTTGTCACTGAAAGGAGTACCAAAGAAGTACATCAACCTTATAGAGGCTCTCTACTCGAACACAACTGGTCGAGTTAGAGATTATGGCGAACTGTCATCAGAATCGATTACTTCGAGTGGTGTTCGTCAGGGCTGTCTACTCTCTCCATTCTTGTTCAACTTAATCGTAGACGTGCATTTAGAAATAACACTTTCCTCATCTCAATCTCTTGGAGTTGAACTTTTATCACTTGTTGACTTAGAATACGCCGTTGACATAGTTCTATTTGATGAGGACGCTGATAAATCCCGAGTCTTCTGACCAGCAGCAGTAGGTCTCAATATAAACAAAGAGAAAAGCAAGACTCTCCGATACAATACAATATGCACCAATCAAATTACACTTGACGGAGAAGCTTTGGAAGGTGTGGAAACCTTTACATATCTGGGCAGCATCATTGATGAACACGGTGGATCAGATGCAGATGTGAGGGCAAGGATCGGCAAAGCAAGAGCAGCATACCTACAACTGAAAAACATCTGGAGCTCAAAACAATTGTCAACCAACACCAAGGTAGGAATTTTCAATACAAATGTGAAGACAGTTCTACTGTATGGGGCGGAGAGGTGGAGAACTACGAAAGCCATTATCCAGAAGATACAAGTGTTTATTAGCCCCCAAATGCCCTGGTACAACCGAGAGTGGGGAGAGTCTGCTCTCCCTCTCGAAATGCTCTCACATGGTCACGCGTATATAGCCTCTGCCAGGGAAGTCCTACTCACTGCCTTCTCGTTGCCAGGGTGTTGTTTACGAAGTTGAGAGGACGAAAAGAAAATGTCCGATGCTTTAGTCGGGTTGGTGGACACGGTGAGTCCACCTAGGGGAGTTGGAAGGCCCTGATTCCAAACCAATGGTGCACATGTTCTCCAGTATCCTGGAAGAACAAATGGCGTATGAACCAATTGTTGGTACCGGCTATCATGGGACTGCATCTCCTCACGATGCTCCACTGCCTTGTGGGTCAAACCTTTAGGTCAAAGGCTCTGGGTGTGGTCCCCTAAGAAAACCACCTGCTTCGGTTTGGGCACCCGGGCAGTATCACAGCCCTCTCGCAAATAAATGAAATGGAACATTCAGCTGACAATTATATTCTCGTTCATACTAGAAACAACTCAATTTGCATTATTACTATTATTATTATTTACCATATCGCTAATTCACCCCCTTTTATCCCCAACTTGTGTAACCTTACTTTTCAACTTATGCAGCAGCTCGCTCTTGGTGGAAAATCTGTCCTATCTAAACGATCTCCAGTCACTATCTGGTTGAAAGTGAATGCTTCCACCGATTATGAATACTGAAGCAGTCTTTCTGAAACCACGTACGCCGTTCAAGCTGGCTTCCTTCAACGTTCGCACACTAATGCAGATCAGACAACAGATAGGGCTGGCTATGTCTTTGGAAGGTCTTAATGTTGATGTTTGTCGTCTATCCGAGACCCGTATTCAAGACTCTAGTGAAGTACTACAAATCCGCTCTCCATCTGTTGCCTCGAAAAGCTTGTTTCACGTGCGCTTATCCGGGGACCCTGTGGCATCTTCGTCTGGTCTTGCTAGCGTTGGTGTCGCACTAAGCATTAGAGCTGAGGCAGCACTAATCGATTGGATCCCCATTAACAGTCGGTTATGTGCTGTTAGATTAGAAAGTTCCATCAAAGTGAGAAGAAACCGGCGTGAGAAACGGTGTCTTTTCGTCATCTCCGCCTATGCCCCGACAGATTGCAGCCCGGATGCAATCAAGGATGAGTTTTACCATCAGTTAACAGTTCTTCTCCAGAAAGCGCGTTCGAAAGATATTGTAGTACTAGCTGGAGACTTGAATGCACAGGTCGGGCGTCTAGGCACAGAAGAGAGTTGTTTAGGTGGCCGATGGGGACTTGTTGGTCGCAGGACAGATAACGGGGACCGTTTGCTGCAACTGTGCACAGACCACAACCTGTTTCTGGCTAGCACTAACTTCCGGCACAGTCATCGCCGGTGTGCCACCTGGCGTCCTCCCTCTGCATCCCAAGCCTGGACTCAGATTGATCACATCGCGATCAGCTACCGCTGGCGTGGTTGTGTACAAGACTGCCGCTCCTTTTAGAGTACCTGTCTGGAGTCTGATCATGCCCTGGTCTGCGCCAATCTCACCTTACTTTTCAGTGGCCGAAGGATTGACCACCACCAACGGATCGATGTTAGTAAACTGGCTGCAACTTCTGTTGCAAGTAAGTATCGAGCGGAGCTAGCTTCTAGGCCAGCTACCATCCCACCGAAAAGTATAGATGAGCATTGGTTGCATCTTCACGACGCCATGAAAATGGCGAGTAAAGCCGCTTGCGACTTCGCGAAACGTCCCGCTTACAAGCACTGGGTTTCTTCTGGCTCCTTACAACTGATGGAAGCCCGCCAGTCTACTCCGGGTGACCGTGAGTATGACCACAAACGAAGGCTGTTACGTAATGAAATTGGGCAAAGCTTGCGTAAGGATCGAGAAGCCTGGTGGTCGGAGTGTGCTAATAAGATGGAAGCAGCAGCTGCATCTGGTAACTGCCGGAAGCTCTTCCAACTCATCCGAGCCACTGGCAGCAAGAAGTCTGGTGTGAGTGAAACAATCTACGAGGATGATGGGATGCCAATCACTAACATAAATCGACGTCTTGGACAATGGGCGGAATTCTTCGAAGGGCAGTTCAACTGGCCTGCTGCTCCGGCAACATCAACCAGTTTGTCCTGCCCCCCATGGCCGGTGACGACTGATCCACCAAACGAAGCGGAAGTCCGCAAGGAACTCTAACTCTTGAAACGTTACAAATCACAGGGCCCAGATGACTTACCTCCGGCTCTTTTTAAAGATGGTGGTGACTTTCTGGCAAAGGAATTGACTATGGTGTTTGCAGAGGTTTGGGAGGAAGAAAGTGTTCCAACATCATGGAATGAGTCGATAGTCGTACCTATCTTTAAAAAGGGTTCACGTTGTTCCTGCAATAACTACCGGGGTATAAGTCTACTTCCGATTGCGTCCAAACTATTGGCTTCTATCATTCTGTTTAAAACCCGAGAACGATTGACTCGCGAGGAGCAGGCTGGTTTTCGTTCTGGTCGAGGATGCATTGATCACATCTTCACCCTCCGCCAAATGTTAGAACACCGTCATACTTATCGCAGGCCAACAACCGTAGTGTTTCTTGATATCAGGGCTGCCTTCGATTCGTTGGACAGGACTGTTTTCTGGGATTGTCTATTGAAGAAGGGTGTGCCTGAGAAGTTCATTAACATCTTAAAGGCCCTGTATACGAACACCTCAGGCAGAGTGAGGGCACACAACCATCATTCTTCATTCAAGCAGTGGGGTTAGACAGGGTTGCTTAATCTCGCCAATCCTCTTCAACTTTGCCATGGACATCCTGGAAACAGCTCTGGTGGATGTAAGTAATGGCGGTGTGGATATGTTGCCTGGAGAACGACTTCTCGACCTTGAGTATGCGGATGATATTGTCTTACTGTGCGATGATGCCCAAGGCATGCAATCCGCACTTAATCAGTTGGCAATCAGTGTCCGCAGGTACGGCATGTGCTTTGCACCCTCCAAGTGCAAGGTACTCCTACAAGACTGGCAGGATTCTCATCCTGTACTCACCCAGGATGGTGAGCAGATTGAAGTAGTTGAGAAGTTCGTGTATCTAGGTAGCTTTATTAGTGCTGGTGGGGGCGTGAGTGATGAGATTGATGCACGTATAATGAAAGCCAGAGCGGCTTATGCCAATCTGGGCCATCTTTGGCGCCTTCGTGATGTTAGTCTGACTGTAAAAGGTCGGATCTACAACGCGTCGGTGAGAGCAGTTTTGTTCTATGCTTGTGAAACCTGTCCTCTCCGAGTTGAGGATGTTAGACGTCTCTCTGTGTTCGATCATCGTTGTCTCCGAAGGATTGCTGACATCCAGTGGCAACACCATGTTAGTAATGCAGAGGTTCGGCATCGTGTGTTCGGGCGCAGGGACGATAATTCAATTGGTGTCACCATCTTGAAACACCGACTTCGGTGGCTTGGACATGTTTTACGAATGTCGTCTCAGAGACTTCCACGTCGTGCATTATTTGCCGGCTCTGGGACTGGTTGAAAAAAGCGGAGAGGAGGTCAGTGTATGACATGGTGTCGTGGCATGAAAGAGAGCTGCAAAGGACTAGCTTCTGTTGGTCCTTCACGACTTCCTGGCTGGGGTCCGAGAGATGGTGCAACACAGTGGCTAGAGACGTTATCAGATATGGCTCAGAATAGAAGCCAGTGGCGAGCCTGCTGTAACTTTCTTTTACTTTCTTCATAAAGAGTGGCTATAACTTTTTTAACTGAGAGAGCTCTTCTGGTTGTACATTTCATTTCCCACCCATCATTACTCTTCTTTTTTTCTTTTTTTCCTTCTTTTATATATACGCATCTTCTTTATTCTCCCATTCTCATTATTTTGTGTGGCGCATATGTATCCGGTGCCCTTTGTACCAATATATATGCGATCAAATAAATAAATAAAAATAAGTGTTTATTAACAGCTGTCTACGCAAGATACTTCGGATCAGATGGCCAGACACTATCAGCAACAAGTTAATGTGGGAGACAACAAACCAGATTCCAGCAGAGAAAGAAATCAGGAGGAAGCGCTGGAAGTGGATAGGGCACACCTTGAGGAAATCACCCAATTGCGTCACAAGACAAGCCCTCACATGGAATCCTGAAGGTCAAAGGAGAAGAGGAAGACCAAAGAACACATTACGTCGAGAAATAGAGACAGACATGAGAAGAATGAACAAGAACTGGATAGAACTAAAAAAGAAGGCCCAGGACAGAGTGGGTTGGAGAAAGCTGGTCGGCGGCCTATGCTCCATTGGGAGTAACAGGCGTAAGTAAGTAAGTAAGTAGTGAAAATTTATCAGTTGAGATGGCTGGGACACGTGTTACGTATGCCCAACCACCGGCTACCCAGACGTGCAATGTTTTATGGTGTAGGCGTAGGTTGGAAGAAAGCTAGGGGCGGCCAAACCAAAACGTGGCACAAATCCATGAAGTCATTGAAAAGTGGACCGAGCCATGTTGGTAGGTGTAGACTACCTGGTTGGGATCCGCGAGATGATAGCAACCGATAGTTGGAGGTCTTGAATGACATGGCTCAAAATCGTTTGCAATGGCGAAAGTGCATCCACTGTTTGTGTTCTCCCAAATTCTAGTCTTCTGAATTTCTTCTTGTCCCTTTCTTTTTTCTCTTTTCAAAGTTATTTCACTGGATTATACTCCTTGAATAACATCTTCAATCCCTAATCTTCCACATTCATGCTTATACTCTTACTACTTCTACCACTATGGGATTTGAATCGACAACTGCATCTCTGTGCTAATGTGGTATGGCAACTCGAACTGATGTACTTACGTACGAAGTTCTACGTTGTAACTGATTGTTCTAATAGCCTTAGTCGATGAAGGTCCATAGCCTCTCTCAACCGATTTGCTATATTTGTCTAGTACCTTAAGCGTAACCATAATATTGCTCACACGGTGATCCCAAAATACACAAACGATGCTTCGAAGATAGATGTGATCAAAAACTTGCACCCTACGTGTCTTTTATGTTTTCATAGACCATTTTTCACAGCCATCAAGTGATACATATACCTTACGATATACACATGAGGAACCCTGAAATACACCAACTGACAGTTTATCAACGAATTCGGACTCGACCAATAGTGTCTGAGCAGAGATTCTTACGAGATTTATGTACTTATTTGGTACCCCCTTTAATGATAGACATTTTCAAAAAACCTCTCAGTCAAAAGGGTCAAATGCTCGCTAATGATCAAGAAGTAAAACCATAGTCACATGTAGGTAAATTTGACCGTATTTTAAAACCTAATAATGGATATCTGGTTAATACATTAACGGCCCAGCCTGATTTTTACGAGTTTGCTCTTTACAACCACTAGTAATGTATTGGATGATTATAAAGGCTAGTATTTTAGATAGTATATCAGTCATGCTGATTCCTTTGTGGCTATCAGAAGAGGATTTTTGTCCCTTTCTTACAAACGGAGACGATCAGAGATCAAAACCAACCTGATTGATTTGTGAGCAGCTCCCAAACAACTCTAGCCTGTATCTCGATCACCTTGGCTGCTAAAAGTGAACCACTATCTTTAACGGTCTACCGAGTTAATCCACCATGTCCGCTGCTTCCTTTGCTTTAGATTAGCTATAGCTTTTTCAACCGCGCTAAAAGCTGAGGGACTTGGACTAATTTCCCATTCACATTATTTGGTGACAGTGGGTGTATGCTACTTATGATGACAGAAATAAGCAGTATGTAGCACCAATCAAAAGGGGAATGCCTGGCAGCAGAAAATTGCTATGAAGAGAACAGGAAGAAAATCTGAGAACAATCGAAATAACAATAGAATTAGAGGAATAGAGTGTGTGAAGGACAGTTCAAAGATGTGTAAATGATGTATTTAATGTACGATTTCCATATTTCACTAGGCCACTGTGTGGTTTTGCGTTAAACAATAAATTGGTTCCCGCCAACCTGAGTGTTCGTTCACTACAGAGGGTAGCTTTTTGGGATACCTTTCCAATTTTACACTTCGAGAAGGAACGAAATCATGGTTGACTGTTGTATCATAGGTCTCCTTCAGATCTCAAAGTATATGGAAAAAAAGTTATTGGACAACACTATTATAAATAGAATAGTTATAAACAAATGAAAATTGATATTAACTACCTAGTGTAGAAAAACGATTTGTTACTCCATTTAACGTGGTTGAATCATACAGATTAGGTTGTCCTATTTCATCTGAATTCACTCGAAGTACATTCGGCACGGCCCGATGTCGAGGGTGAGGCGAGCTTTTGGAAGACACAACAGAATTGTTGCATGGAAAAGTTTGTGACTGAACAGCTGAACCTACATTGTAATTTGTAGTCACGTTCATGGCATTGTTAGAAGTTGTAGAACAATGTTCAACTGAAACACCTGAAGGGAACGATTGGTGTTCTGTGGTCCTAGTAATACCACCCAAAGTGCCATGATCATACATTGGTTGTGTTTTGATACACACTTCACTGCTAACTGGCATCCTCCAAAATGAATCCAGGTGATCATCAAGCAATAGATCATGTTCAGGTGAGCGACTCTTTTGAAGGTAAGGTATTTCAGGAACTGGAGCAGAAGCTTCATTTGTTTGACGTTGTTGTTCGCGAAGTCGTCTCTTTTTACGATAGTATACCTATAAACAAGTGATAATATATGAGCATGGTAACTAACGGTTGAATAATAATGACCTACAATGAAATTCAACCGTATGTGACTAAGCAAATAAAACGGTACGATTGAGGGTTAAGAGTTTATTGGGTTTTTTAATGGCCTCATAAGATTCCGAGCCCGTGGCTTGAGAATAGAATTCTAACTTACTGCCTTTAAATAGTTGGGAATATTCGTTACAAAAGTAAACAGGTGGTGCTTATACAGGGATGGAATGCATAGAGGGTTTACTAAAAAAGAGCTGAGAAACCCTGATTCAATAGTGGTGGGAAAAATTAATTTGTGGATCCTGAAGGAGATATGATGCATGTGCCCGTTCTAATTACTGGCTTATGATAACATGTACCCACTGTCTTATGGATAAGACTTTTATGTGAAAAGTTTGATGATAATCTCTTTAAAATCCATTTTATTTTATGAGGATATAACAGCAAAGAGAGTTCATAAATTTAGAAGTTTGCAGGGCTTTACTAATGTTTGCCTACAAATACAATGTCTTATTTGATTTTTAGATAGGAACGTAAACGATAAAAAGCTAAATTAAGACTTAAATTGTAGCTGCGCAATATCGGTAATTAGATAGCCAGTTTCTCCTGATATAATAAGTTCAAATAGCCTAGGGACTAGAATCCCAGTTATCTAGCCACAGACACGAACTTATTTCCAAATATAAATTTGGAAGCGATGTAGCATTATTAACGATATACTGAGAAAATCTGTAGTCTAAACATTTTCATTTTATGTAAATGATGTGCAAGTTTTCCGGTAATGTTAAGGTTTTCATTCTCGTTTATGTTGTAACAAAAACGTTTCTAAACATATCGAAAGTTCATGGGGAAGAACGAAGAGTGGTTTTCTAAATCCGCATCACACTACATTCTGAAAGTATAACTACATATGTTGGGATTTTGGGAGAAATATCTTAATTACTACCTTCTGTCTGTACAAGGACAGGTGTTTCAAAGGTTATAACCCGACTGGGTCGATAAACCAATCGATCCCAACTTCCGCTTCAGTTGAATTGCACACGCAGATACTTTACTTCTCCATAAATAAATTAATTAAAACAGTCACCGACATGAAGCTTATTGAGAGCATACAGTCTCTTATGCATTGTAGTTGTGCTACTGAACGGACTATAGTGCCGGAAATCTTGATGATTAACGGTTTAGTGAGTAACAAACACCTTCCAATGTTAATGTAAAGATTTCTTAAAACGATTTACATGTTTAGTTAATATTTTGATTCAATGAATTTGTACTGTATTATAATTACGTACAAATAGGGTACAAAATGTATCCTAGTTTAATTATTACGTGATTCAGTAATATAATTTTAGAAACTGTATTTGTTACACAAAATCCTATTTCATACAAAAAGATCTGTTCACTCACATTATCCTCTGACAGACGGAAAAATATTTCATGTTTGATAGAACACGTGACTCGTATGCATAGTTTGATCCCTACTGATAGATGATTGACTGCCTCCTAAGTGGTGACTACTACCAGTTTGTGAAGACCATCTGTTCGGTCGTGCATCAACTTTAAAACGACCCTATAAACTTTCGTAACAGTCACGGTTCTTACGTAGGCTTTGTGCGACTTCAAGTGCTAGAAAATTTCAGGTTTACCGATACATGTTTCCTTAAATGACAATGATTACCAAAGACCAATTTAAGATTTCGCTATTAAATAATCATTTCAGACTCTAGTATACATTTCATAAATAAATTTTTAAACTGGAATATTATTTAGTTGCGCATGTATACATGATCAGGTCAAATTTATTGTGACTGGTATACGCTATCAAGTATGTGGCAGAGCATAAAGCTCCTAAAAGAGCATAGATACAATACGTGTCAGGAATAATGCATGTCTTTGCAATACTACATTCAGAACCCAATCAACTAGGCGACTGAGCACTATCTGAATATATATAATAGTTGTGGAGAGAAGCTAAGTTTAGTTAGACATCAATTATAAATTGGTTGCTTAGTAATCAATTTCACATGTTTAAGGAGCGTGATGTTGCCACTATGAAAAAGAGCAGTAATAATTTACTGGACGTACGATAGTAAAATTTTCTAGCGCGTGATATAGTAAAACATGGCCATTTAAACATTACCTCGTTTATGTGCTTGTATGTTTGTATTAGGTTTATAGACATTTTTCTTAAAGGTATGGACCAAGGATCACGGCGTCTGAGAGAAGACACTGCAGTTTGTGAGTTTGATTGGATTTGTAGAAGTGGTGGATTTAGACAAAGGTCACCAATCAATGCTGAGTGTTGTGGTAACTGACGTAATTGAACCACATCCTGTTCCTTTAAATTAACCATGTCTCTGTAGTTGTTCAATTTTGCAGGGTAGTTTTGAGCAGCATATGCTGATGCAGCCAAGATAGCTGCTGCAGCGGACGCTCCCATTAATCTTTGACGAGCGCTAATCGAAGGGTCATCTGGGATATAAGAGGAGAGGGTTATTTTGGAACAAGAAGAAATTACTGGGTCTGAATTATAAGTAACTGAGGTAAGTGGTCGGGTATCACAAATAGGCTGACTAAGTTGACCATATGAAGATGATGTTGAAGCTTGTAAGGGTGGACTATTAACAGGATTAGTACTAGCACTATTTCTTGTACTAGATGAAGTAGTAAGTCGAAGTGAAACTTGGTCATCTGCAGCTACTCTGGATAAAGCTGAAGACAAAGAAAGCGATGAAGAAGTTATAACACCCGTGTCCAACGTGAGTGCAATAGGGGACAATGTTGTAGACAAACCAACAAAAGGAGAAGGTTCCTCCATAACACGGTGGTATAAAGTTTGGTTTACGTCACAAGCTTCATCCTCAGAGAACCATCTGCGACTAGATAGGTTATCATCGTCGACAGTTTCTAAATCACTCGTCTGAAGTTGAGAATACCCTTTGATCTGTAGTGGAAGACATTCCGAATTCATAAACCTTGACGGTTGCTCTGAAACTTCTAATGACTGATTACGTAAGTTAGGAGAAAATAGTATTTGTCCTCTAGAAAGTGGAGGAGGTGGAGAAGGTCGGTAACGTGCAAAAAGAGGAATGGACTCTTCTTTGACAGCTCTACCATTGACTGAAGTAAGGGAAAATGTTCCAATATCGTAATCTCCCGATTCACAATCACCTGGACTACCCTCGAATCTCACAGGTTCTTGATTGAACTCTCTTGCTAACAAGGCATCGTCATCATCATCGTAATAATTATCCATACATTGTAAAGTCAAATCGCTCATGTGACTTCCAGAATCAACAAGTTTCTTAATGACATCACGTTGATCTTTTTCTTCCTGTGGAAGTGACCGGATTTGATCATTTGACCCTAGGATGGAAAGCTGACTTTGAACCTCATTCATGGAGTCATTAATATTAGAATTACTGGAGGAGTCTTTTGTAGAAGGATTCAAAAAACTATTATCCCCAGAATTAGTAAGGTTATCTGCATTACGCAAAATACCATCACATGGTACGGTGCAGCTATGAATATACTGAGATTCACACGACTTTGTTGGCTCGGTTGGTCTAAGTGTTGCTTTTGTCTGACATAGATGCATTTAATTTTTATGCTAATTTGATATCTACCAGCTCCAGAAGTGTTGCATCCTGGTTTGATTTGAGACAATGATATTATCTTGAAATATTCAAAGATGATTTCTACATAACATAAATGTCATATTCTGTCTAACATAACTTAGATATTTGGATGTAAATTAGCAACATCTCTGAGTAAATAAACCTACAATAGATAAAAAAACAGTATGTAGGAAAACCTGAGGATCTCCATGTGAAAATTCATTAAAGTTAAAATAGCTTTAAAGTTTCGACATGAAAAATATGGTCACGGAGTTTTGTATTTAGTTCAGTTGTTGAGTCTATCGCAACTCCAACTGGACAATGATCATTGGGTCGAGTCAGTCAGCTAAAACATAGGACTATGAACATATACGAATCGGTTAAAGTTGTCACATCTCATTAGCACAACAAGGTGATCAACGAATTCATGAAAGCAGTTACTCCCATGGTATTTATTTATTTATATTCAAACATAAATATTGGTACAAGAGGCACCAGATATATATGCGCCACACTATTTCATTTTAATTATATGAGGACTATGGTACTGCCCGGGTGCCTAGACCGAAGCAGGTGGCATCCTTAGGGGACCACACCCAGAGCCTTTGACCTAAAGGTTTGACCCACAAGGCAGTGGAGCATCGTGAGGATATGCAGTCCAATGATAGCCGGTACCAACAATTGGTTCATACGCCATTTGTTCTTCCAGGATACTGGAGAACATGTGCACCATTGGTTTGGAATCAGGGCCTTCCAACTCCCCTAGGTGGACTCACCGTGTCCACCAACCCGACTAAAGCATCGGACATTTTCTTTTCGTCCTCTCAACTTCGTAAACAACACCCTCGCCACGAGAAGGCGGTGAGTAGGATTTCCCTAGAAGTGGTTGTATGTTCGTGGCCATGTGAGGGCATTTCGAGAGGGAGTGCTGACTGTCCCCACTCTCGGTCGTACCAAAGCAACGGAGGGCCAAATCTGTGCTCCGGAAGAGGTGAAATATATATATATAAAGGAAATACTGTGTATAAGGATATAGTACAGGAAGAAATAATTAGTTCGTAGAAAGTAAAGCATAAAGCAATTTTAATCTCACAGTTTAAGGGAATACAAAGTGTATACACCTACGCGATTGTGGTCGATCCTAAGTCATGTCACCCAGAGTCTCCAACCATTGGTTACGATATTCACATGGACCCCAAACAGTTAGTCTGCATCTACCAACATTATTCAAACCAGAAATTAGTAGCTTCAAGGACTGATGCCACGTTTTGGTTTGAATGCCCCTAAATTTCTTCCAACGATCTCCAATACTAGTCAGCATTACGCGTCGTGGTAGTCGGTGTTCAGGTATATGTAACACATGGCCCATTCATTTAGGTCGATGAAGATTTACAACCTCATCAACTGGATCAAGTAACCACACTTTATACCAGCATAGTGGGAAGAAATTAACAGGACGAGAGCCAAAGGAGCCGAAACGATATATACAGTAAGGAAAAAGCTAAATATTGAATACTGGGAGAGAGGGTGGGAGGAATCGGGGACTAAAAAGCATGAGGTAATGTCGGTATGCATTGTGTAATCATTTTCAGAATATTCAAAAACTGATCTTCAGAATATATTACTGAAACTTAGGATTTAGAGGAAGATGAAGATTAAACACAACTAAATGACTGCATCCCCCAAATGCCCTGGTACGGCCGAGAGTGGGGAGAGTCTGCTCTCCCTCTCGAAATACTCTCATATGGCCAGCGAATATATAGCCTCTGACAGGGAAGTCCTACTCACTGCCTTCTCGTTGCCAGGGTGTTGTTTACGAAAATGAGAGGACGAAAAGCGAATGTCCGGCGCTTTAACAGGGTTGGTAGACAAGGCGAGTCCACCAAGGGGAGTTGGAAAACCCTGATTCTAAACCAATGGTACACATGGGCTACAGTATCCTGAGGGAACAAATGGCGTATGAATCAATCGTTGATCACCGGCTACCATGGGACTGCATCTCCTTACGATGCTCCACTGCCTTGTGGATCAGATCTTTCGGTCAAAGGCTGCGGGTGTGGGCCTCTAAGAAAACCACCTGCTTCAGCTCGGGCACCTGAGCAGTATCACAGCCGTCAAGCAAATCGAATGAGATTTGTATGGCGCATATGTATCTGGTGCTTCCTTGTACCAATATTTATGTGTTTGAATAATAATAATAATAATAAAAATGACTGCAGCTAACGCTGTCAAGTCACCTGAGAGCCATAACCACTACGAAAATCCAGCGGACCAGTTAAGAAGTCTGGGCTGTAGATGGTAGGTTATAAGACGGAACTAATTTAAGACTGCTGGATTTTTAGGTTTGGGAGTTCTCAACCTTACCCAAGAACAAGAATGGCTGGAGGAATCCGATTTTACGTTGTTCATGACAAGCTAACTGTAGGGATTTACGTGTGGGGATGTAAAGAAGTGACCCCAAATGCCCTGGTACGAAAGAAAGTGGGGGGAGTCAGAACAACCTCTTGAAATGCTCTCACATGGCCCTTGCATACAACCACGTGGTCCCCTAAGGATACCACCTGCTTCGGTCTGGGCACCCAAGTTGTATCCCAGCCCTCACACAAATCGAATGATTTATGTGGCTCATATCTATTTGGTGCCTCTTTGTACCAATGTCTATGCATTTAAATAAATAATAAAGGAAGTCGAGAGTGGTAGGGACTGATGAGTGATAGTGTTTATGTAACTCGGTGGAGAATTACGAACTTGACTTTAAATCACATTATGTAATGATCGCCAAAGCGAAGTAGGCAGTTTGGAGCCAGAATCTACGACCCGATAGTTGAAGCTGCATATGAGGTTCGAGAATAAAAAAGAAATCAATTGCATAGGTTTAACTATAACACCTCGCCGATAGTCCATCTGAAGCTCATAGTAAATCATTTGACAATTCTGTATTCATAAAACTTTTCATAGTATTAGGATGTTACAGACAGTAATCTGGTTACCAATAATGATTTAAGAACTCGTACGCTGATGGCTTTAACCGTACGCGAATTCCGTAAGTAACTGCACTTCTTTCTAATGAAATAAAGAATCATTTGAACCGATAGCAGATAGAGCAGTCCAGTAATTAAAGTAAGAACCTTCAAACACGTGGATGAGTCGTGTTTGAATGACTAAGCCATTGTACCATGTATGAAACAAAACAGAGAATGAATTACACAGACTCAACCGTTAAACATATTTCGATAAGGTTGGGAGATTTAGTAGTAGATAATAAAGGCAATCTTGTAGAACGGTCGCATTAATCCACAAGATACGGTTACTGAATTAGCAAGGGTACTAGGTCCCTATCTTCTCCATTCGGAAATCACTTTTACAACTGTATCGGTTACGTCGCAGTAACTAAACAGGAATCACTTTACTATTATATCAAATGCTCAGCTTATTTAAGGTAAACCTCAGTACGAAAAACAATACTTATTCTATTCCGAGTGGAATAATCTGGGTCACCATTATTCTCAAAAAACCGCACAGCAGGTTTCACTGCATTGATACGAGACAATACTTACTATCCATTGATGATTTAGATAGTGGGAATTCATAACTGGAAATGGAAGAGAACCAAGTTTCTTGGGAATAATCTCGTGTTTGAATGTTTTGCAAACACAAAACTTTAACCAATACTTTTTAAGGAATGTGATTGCCATCCAGTAAATATAAGCCAAATGACCTCAAAAAAACAAGACAACTCGTTTGATTTTAGAGAATAGTGAAAATCATTGTATTATTTTCGTCTTTGAATACGAAAGCGAAAGATGACAAGCACTTTTGTTCACGAAACCCGGATATTCAAACATACAACGAGATTTATTTACATAGCAACAAGAGCTCATGTTGCTTGTTTCCAGAGAAACTACTGAGACCGGAGAACAGAGTTTTATAAAACTCGTCCCGAGTAATATATTATTCACACTATGATAATTATATCAAACAAGTCTGAAAACCACAAAACCCCCAAAAAACGAAAGAACAAAGTAAGTTTTCAAGATGGAAAACAATAAAATAGGGAATTCTGATTTACGTACTACAATAAGAGGAGAAATCCTTCGACTGACCAAGTGGGCCATAAAACGAAATGTGCGCGTAAAGTATAGAGCGGCCATTGGAACACACCTAGCCTAATTCAGATGAAAATGAACGGCAGACAACCTGACAGAACATTCAGATTATCAAGGGTTGTAGTGCATTTCCTCAGTAGTACAACAGAGGAACTGGCTTCGATCTCAGATGGACCCTGTGGAGAATTTTGGAAAGAAAGAGAAAAAGTGAGCCAATGACTTGCGAAGCACTTGGCATGCCCTTCTATTTAATAATCGAAACAATGGATAAAAATCAGTAGTAACACAAGAGTAACATCAATAAAATTTGATAACTGAAACTAGAAGTTGAGAGCGTACGATTTTAAGTGCATTATCTAGCTCCCCCTGATGGAAACCACTGTCCTCGATGCTTGTAGTATCTGAATTTGCTAGAGCTAGTAATACTGTATGTGGCTAATGAATTATCTGCGTTGAGATGGACGTTGTTTGGTGCATGCACACAAATCCTAACGAATTTGACAGTTGTTTGAGGGTCCATGTGTCTTGGATATAAATGAATGCGTCTGCTCTAGGCCCTTGAGGTTACGAGGACCAAAAGCCATCACACTACAGGGTAGCCGACCAAATGTTATAATTACAACATGAAGGAGCAGAGAGTCAGAATAAAACAAACAGATAAACTTGCCAATTGATTTATTAGGTAGAAAAATAAAAAATTGGACGGATTTTTAAAAAAACGGTACACGACAGAAGGTTCTTGTCGATAAGATAGTGTGGGGGTCAATAATAATGACAAACAACAATAGGGAAATTGTAGGCTGTGATACAGACATGTCGATGAGTGCACAGCGTCTTCCCTTATAAATTCGTATAGTCAACCGCAGTCCCACACT